GGCCTCCATGTATTTTTTCTAATTGAGTTCTTGATATATAAATTAATGTGATTAATTTATTCGTGCATAAATTAATATAATATATAGAGTATCTCCAAAGTTTTATGAAAATTTTTGTTATACTTGATTCGCCCTTCCGCAAGGCTTCCGCATCCGAATTCGATTCGGTTACCAACATATTGTACTTTTAGTTTAAAATTGTTGTAGTTTTTGGTTGTATGAATTCGGGATTATGATTTTGATATTTGAACTATGATTTTCTTATATTGTTGAAATTTAGTATATGTTTGTGATCATCCAGAACCAGTTGACCTAGACGCTTCTCTACCTCCTTCAGATGATGACGGTCCTGATGATGATTCAGATGCTAGCGATGTTGCAAACTTAGACGATTAGTTCTGTTATATGTACTTTTTTATTTTTCACTTTATTTAGACTTTTACATTTTTTTGAACATTATATATGCACTTCATGTAGTATTCATAATATATTTTATAAATTCATTTAGATTTACTGTTTTTAATATTAATTTATATTTCACTTTTAATGTATCTTAATAAATTCTGTTCAGTATGTAACATAATAATGTTTAATTAAAAATGTTAAAAATTAATTAATTGCCATTTTTTAAAAATTATAAAAAAAAATTAATTTCGGTTTTTTTGTGACGACTTTTTTAGACTTGTCGTCGCAAAAAAAATAAGATTATTTGTGATGACAATTTGAAATGTCGTCGCAAAAAATAGATCATATCATGAGAGATTTACGACAACGTATTAGCGACGATTGTCGTCGTAAATACATTTGTGACAACACTATGTCGTTACAAATAATTTATTTGCGACGAATTATTTACGACAACAATTTGCGACGACGTGTCATCGCAAAAAATTTTATTTACGATGATATGCGGTTTTTTGTGACGACTTTTTGTTTTTGTTGTCGCAAAAACCCTTTTTTTATAGTGAATAGAATACTTTTAAGTATCCCACATATATTATACTTTTCATAAAAAAATATTTTATTTTAGTCCTTCTATAACTAAAAGGGGATTTATATGAGAAAGTGCAAGGAAGAATTATATCAAATATCCGATAATATGTACTTTAAATTAATCGAGATTTTTGTCAAACTCTATTACTCTATTATATTCACCACGGTTTGATTTAACATGATTTAAGTATGTAATACACATTAAAATTAATTTTTCAACCACAAATGAATAACATGAGAAACACCAACTTAAATCATAACTCTTGTGTACCAATTAATGTGATTATAGGTTGTCATTTGTATATTAATGAGTGTTTAAAATATTATCATGTCAATTAATAATAAGAGATTACGGACCCATTTAGTTCGCTGATTCAAATTTTTAATTCGAGTTGAGATGTGACTTTATGTAAGAGCTTTTTACTGTAGTAAAAAAGTTAGATGTGACTGTTTCTGAGAACTTTTTACTGTAGCAAACTCGAATTCTAAATTTTAATCGGTAAAATGAAACGGGGCCTACATCTATTAACAAAAAGATGTCACATATCACATCAACTGGTACATAAAAATTAATATTTAAGTTGATGTTCCTAACCTTACTCATCACAAATATTGAAGATTTCTTACGGCTATTATATTACCCATAGATTTCTTATGTTGGTGTATCGGATTTATGCCAATTTCATAACGTTTTTAATGACCGAAGCATTGAATTATTCTAGCAAATTAGTGATAGGTATCAACTCAAGATGATTACTACATCTCGACTCTAATATTTTTCAGAGTCAAATGCGCATGGTTTTCACATATCACCCTCAAATAAGGACTATTAAGAATTAAAGTAAAAGTCTTTTTTTTATTATTTTTCTTTTCTTTTTACAACTACCACTTTTACATTCTCTCTCTCTCTGCTGTGCTGCTACTTTTGATTTCTCGATTGATGCGTTTTTATGGTCATATATAGTATAGCTTTACTCATAAACATGCTACTTGATTATGAAAATTTCTGTTAGCATCCTTTCATTCTTAATTCCTTTCTTTCTTCCAAAAATAGTATACGTGTGAATAAAGTTGTTACAGAATATGCTTTAGAGTAATAGGTTGGTACAAAAACGCGATCTTTTAAAGTACTGCTTTTCAAAACCCAAGAAATATTTAAGAATAAAAGGTAGTCATTGATGCACTGTGATATGCGCATACATGATACACTCAGTTCGCTGGTTTGAGTTTTTAATTCGAGTTAAAATGTGATTTTATATGAAATTTTTTTACTATAGTAAAAAAGTTAAATTTAATTATTTCTGAAAATTTTTTATTATAACAAAATTTGAATTTGTGAAATAAACGGGCCTTAGTGTCATTAAAATGGTCCCATTCAAAAAATCTTCTCCATCAAAATGCACTTTCTAAAAAATTAAATTGGAGGAGAATGAGGAAAATAGCAGATTTAGAAAGGGCAATTAAAATTAATAGCAAGATTGATAAAAAGTTTAGTAATTAACATGAAATTTAAATTAGATATTTTTATAGACATTAAATTACCGACAATACCCTCATTAATTCTCTTTAAGAAAATGAAAATGAAATGTCCTAAAAATCTCTTTGTCAATCTTCCTCACTCTCTCTCCTCCACGTTTTTTCTTTTTCTTTTCTTCATCTCCCTCTCTTTCTCTCTCTATTTGCTCCGTGTTCCTTGCTCTCGCTCTCCCCATCTCTCAACCTCACTCTCTCTCTCTCTCTCTCTCATCAATCTTTCTCACTCTCGCTTTCTCTCTCTCCACCGCAGATGGGCCTCGTTCATCACTGGCAACGATAGCCTCCAGATATCGCGACGGATCTGTCCAGACACGAGAGCTCGGAGTTGGTTCGGCGTGGTTCCAGATCTGGAACGGAGGAGATGTTTCCGATGAAGAAATCGGCACAACAAATGTTTGGCGAAGAGGAAGAAACATGGCATTCTTGGAATTTTAAAATTTATTTTAAAATATGCTATTTACTTGATGTTTGAAAAAATACCGCTACTAACTACAATTAGTTTCTAATAACAATTTCCATAAAATAAATACCTTCATATTCCTAATTTCGCAGGTTTAAATGACATCAAAAATAAGAAAATTACAGTTTATATATGAAATGAAGTCGATGTTTTTTGCTTTAGAAAGGAATCCATTGAGTGTTTATAAAACCGTAAAATAATGTAATAGAAAATGTATAATATGATTGAAAAGAGAAGTAAAATAATAAGAATGAGGATGGTTGATTTTTTTTCTGTGTTTGGTGTAATGAGAAATAATTTATTTTTTTTAAAAAAATTTTTTTATTAGACTTAAAAATGACAATACTCTTGTATACTAAGAATGAGGATCATTGATTCCTTTTGTAGTTTTTACTTTCTATTATTGTCTTCATTTTCAATATAGTGTATACACTAACACATATAAGCATATATATATATATATATATATATATATGTATGATATAAACACTAATAATTGAAGAGCAGAATGGCGAAACTTTTCTAAGATATGGAAAAAAGGCATGACAATTCCTCCACCACCATCTCAGGTCAAGCAGATGATCTTATTATAAGGTGATAATTGGGTGGCTGTGACCTACTTCATGGGATAATACAAAAAATAACAACTAGTTCTCATCTTACAATTATTTGCCGTCAATTTGTAATAATATCAGTGAATACAACAAAAGATTATGTAGAAATATAAAATATAAAAGAAGCTAGCTAGCTAGCTAGCTAGAGAGTGCTCTATTTGTCTTCCATATTGTTGTTGAGGATTATGTCGTGCAGGACTCAAATTCTTCATGTGTGTCTCTAAACATTACCCCACATGTCACAACTAAATAAATCAATAAATTTAAAAAAAAAAAAAAAAAAAAAAAAAAAAAAAAAAATTAAAAAAAAAAAAAAAAAAAAAAAAAAAAACAGATAATTAGTAGCTTTTATATTGAACTTCAGAATATGCCTAACTGTTCTTACCTCATTATTGACAGCCAAACCAACGGATTGCATGCATCAGCTAGTAAATAAGACGACAAAATATAGAATGAGTAAATGAACCAATTGAAATTATTAAAGAGTTAACGCGTTTTAGTTTGTTTGCTTGTTTTTTTTTTTTTTTTGGTTATTGTACGGTACTTTCACATATAACATGCAGCCACGAATCTGATGAATATTGACATATAATTGCTATAAAATGGACCTTATTTCTTTTTTGAAAAGATAAAAGTTAACCCAAAAAAAATACCCTTAAAGCTCTCTTCCATTCATATATTGATTGATATATAGGCGTAATCTAACCCGTTTAGTTCGTTGATTCGAGTTTTTAATTCGAGTTGAGATGTGATTTTATGTGAGAGCTTTTTACTGTAGCAAAAAAGTTAGATGTGATTGTTTATGAGAGCTTTTTACTGTAGTAAAACTCGAATCAACGAAATGAACGGTTAAATTCATAAAAGTAAGTCACGTTACTTCTATTACAACATTTAAATTGTTGATAAGCAACATTTATAATTCATTTATTTCAAAAGTAGGGTTAGACATTTAGTTGTGATCCATTGAGGTTTCCGCGTAGTATCTATGTAGAACATCAACGGGAATAAATAAATTCACAATTAATTAATGTTTTGCTTGTGTTTGGAGTCTAAACGTGCACGTGCACACAGAGACAAAGAGACCCAAATTCTTCTTCTTCTTCTTTATAAATGACATATCAGTCCCCACTAGAAGTACCTGAAAATCCAATGTTAATGAATTAAAGAGTATTGGAATGGAACTCATGATCTTTAGTGACGATACATATGAGCACTAAAATTCATAAATACTTTTTTTCATATTTTCTAATAAATAAAATATGCAAAAATAAGATCAGTTTCTACGAATCTCATTCTTATATGTCACCAATTTTGTATTCAAGCAAATTGACAACACTAGAGCCAAATATAAACAATACTCCTAACAAATTCCAAAAGTAAAACAAACAAACAAAAAATTAAAAGCCAAAAACAGTTATAGATCATATATAATTTTTCTTACAATACATGCTATATTTTTCACATTAATTCATATTCTCTTCAATATTCAAAAGACCTATACAAACTCACAACCTTTAATTCAGAAACAATATACTACTACTACTAAACTAACAAATCTGCCACTTTTTTCCCCCCACTTGATACATCAATCAATCTTATATCTTTTTTTTTTTTTTTTCATTTTTATCCCTCAGTAATTCCAAAAGCTCTCAAGATCAACCGGTCCAGATTGATTCTGATCACCAAATTGCCTCCTACCCATCTCAAGATTTGCCATAACAGAAGTGATTTCATTGCTGATGTGGTCATTTGCTGTTGTCGTTTCTTGTTGTCTCTCTGCCTTGAAACTCTGCCTCAAGCTTGAGCCATTGTTGTTTAGCAAAGCGCTTAGGATGGACTGGTCGTGCACCAAAACCTGACTTTGGAACTGCATGTAGGACGAAACCGGGCCAGATTGAGTTGGATAAAGAGGATTTGAAAGTGCGATTCTTGGGATTATCACATTATTTGTGGGATTTGAAGGAACACCAAAAATAGGATTATTGTTATTGCTATTATCATTGTTGGCGTTGTTATTGTTGTCAATAACAAGCATACTGGGGTTGGAGAAGCAGGGCACGTTGGCTGAGTCTGAAACGTTTCTGGGTTTATTGTTGAAAGGTGATGAAGAGTCCATTAATGGTGGCAAACCAAATGAACCGATTTCGTTTCCGAAAGGGCCTAATCTGGAAAACCCAGCTATGGGGATTTTCTTCCCTCCAGAACTCTTCTGAAAAACCCTGCAAATCACCCACTCATTCTGCAAAAACGCCCCCACCAAAATAATAATAATAATTATTATTATTATTATTATAAGATTTCAATAAAACAAGTCATGTATAAAAAAGGGTATTTTTGAAAAAAGGAAAAAAAAAGTTGATACCTTGGCAGTTTTGGGGAGATTATGGACAGAGAATTTGCCTTCAAGTCTGTACTCATGCATGACCCAGTTGGATTTTTCGCCTTTTGGTGCTCTTCCTTTGTAGAAAACCAAGGTTTTCTTCATTCCAACAAGGGATTTTCCTCTGTAAATCTCTTTATCTTTCCCTGTGGCTTTCCAATACCCTGCTTCAGTTGCTCTGTTCGTCCTCAACCCTGTTGGGTATTTCCTGTCCCTAACACAGAAAAAATACCATTCTTTTTCTCCCATTTTAGCCTTCCCTAAACACATAAAAAAAAAAAAATTATTTTCTTACTATGTCATGAAGAAAAAAAAAAGAAAAAAAAAACACTCAGAGAATTTCAAAGGCTAAAAGAATGATAATAATAATAAACATTACAAGGCAAATCCCATGGCTCAGACTTGTTCAAATCAACCTCTCCAATTGCTCTACAAGCAAAGTTTGTATCAACAACTTTCTTGTACAAGTAGTGAGAAATAAGCTCTTCATCGGTCGGATGGAATCGAAAACCCGGAGGCAAATCTAGCTGATCATCTTCCTTAACTTGTCCAAGAACGTTTTCCATTAATTCCTTAATAAGTAAAAATAAAAATCCCTATTGTTTTTTTCCCCTTTGTCTAAAAAATCCCAGTTTCAGAAAGAAGCTACAAAAACTTGGTCTGTATTCCAATATCTAGACCCCCTAAGTTTGTATATATGTATGTGTGTGTATATATATATATCTATATACACACACACCACCTTTGATACTTTGAATTTGTACTAATGATGAAAAGGAAGCAAAATAAACGGTTTCAATCCTTGAGTTGAAGACACTTTGCAAAGGAAAACAAAACCCAAAAAGAAAGATTGAAACAAAAGAAGAAAAGTGTTTTGCAAAGGAACAAAACAAGAAAAAAGAAACGCTCAAGCAAAAGGCAAGGGAAAGTTGAGAGTAGAGAGGAATAGAAGGGAAGCCATATGGGATCTTTAAAAAAAAAAAAAAAAGTTTTTATTATTGCACAATCTGAAAGATAGAGATTGTTAAGAAAAAAGAAAAGCACTTGGAGAGAAACAAAAGCCCCTAAATACTGGTTTCTTTGGAGAGAAAAAAGAAACGTGGGATGTAAGGCAACTTGGGTAGGTTGTTTTTAGTTTTGTGCCCTTTTTGTTTTTAAACTTTTTCTTTTTAGTTTTTTTTTTCTTTTTCTTTTTTTTTAATGGGTGACAAATTCCACCCTCTTGAAATTTGACCAAGGACATCACACCCCGGATTAAAATACACAGTGCCCATGTAATTTTTTGGATTATGGCCAATTTAATAATTTTTTGAGAATTGTCAACAAAATATTATTAAAATGTCAATATTATATAATAAAAGATATTATAAGCTGTCAAAGAATCATCATGAAGATGAGAGGTTTCAGTGAGGCTTTGATGTAACTTGATTAGTTGTTTCATCTATATATTTGGGAATTATCCCAACATGCATTATAATATCATAAGTCTAAAAGCAAATATATAAGAAGTTGAAGAATAAAACCATTTCTATGATGTGATGAAAAATTAGGGCTCTAGCTTTTGTGTTGAAGAAATCTTCTTTTAAGTACGACCAATGAATGGTAAACAGCTCACACATGTGTGTGAATGCAAAGGGGATAGCATAAGCTTACGGCTTACCATCTAACTTTCAAAAATTAGTTAAGCTCACCTCATTTCACCTCGAAATTACACTTACGCCCTTGTTGGAAAATGAGATTACCAAAATGACCCTCTTTCTCAATTTTATAAATAGAGTGAAAGAGATAGAAGGAAATATGAAAAGAGCCGAAAGCGATGGAGAAGTTTGCCATGCTATTTGGCCATGAAAGTTACGCGTACATTTTCAATACATTGCATTTACACACTCGTTAGTAAGCAAGAGGCAAAATCAAGTAGGAAGTCCACCACTGAAGTATTACTGTTTAAGTACAGTTTAAGATGAGGCTGTGAATTTTGAATGTATGAAATATGTATTTAAGCCCTTTAGGGGGGAGAGAGAGAGAGAGAGAGAGAGAGAGAGAGAGAGAGAGAGAGAGAGAGAGAGAGAGAGAGAGAGGAAAACATTTTTTAAATACTCCAAACAATGGACAAAACAATATCAACTAAAGAAATGCATTTATTACCATGAAAAAAACAAGAAATGCATTTATTAATTAGGCCAATTGGCTCAATGGATCAAGACTCTTGCATAGTGAATTCCAACAGAGAACAGAACAAAAAATAAAGACATATTTACACTAAAGTGTTGAATGTTTTGAAACGTTTATGGCATGTAAACTTCAAAAGATTTCATAAAAAAAAAATGATAAAAAAAAATTGTTCATAAACTTTTTCATCATCAAAGATAATAATAAGACAAGTTAAGGGTGAGCGATGCTTTTGTAGTTTCAACTTCTTGCAAAAGATGAGATGCATATGCAAAATAATTTTATGATTATTAAGGGTCATTTAAGGGGTTAGGTGAGATAAATGAATTGATTAACATATCGATCTGAGCTAATTTGTCCAATCTATTGAGAAAGGTTTAGATACGTTATATCAAAATGTTGAATTAGAAATCTTAAATTGTGTTTTCTTTTTTCTTTTTCTGTACTACATTAATGTTGTATTTGTTTCATATATACCATATATTCACATTCTGACCTTAACCATAAAAACCATGTGGTGGTTCATCTTTGACAATTATAGGCATTTTTTTCTCTTATTTAATGCTTTTTATCTATGACGTGTGCCTAAACAAAATCTGATGCTATTTCATACTCCTAAAAGCATTATAGATATTGAGATGTATAGTTGACTTAAAAAGTTCCAAAATAGTTTATACATTCATTTCCCACAATCATAGACTTATTCCAAAACTATACCTATACAATAAATTCATAACTAATTGTTAAATGGTTTATTGCAATTTGAACTGCCATTTCTGTTAAAGACTAATATCAATTACATGCTAAGTATCATTTTCAATTTTTTTATTTTTTTTATTTTTTTATTTTTTTGCTGATTGGCAAGAATTCTACTAGCTTTGTAAAGCATTGTTGCTCTTTGATACGAAACCCTGAATTAAATGAATTGAAGATTGCAGGTTTTTGGTTAAACATAATTCTGATTGAAAGTCTAATAATGCCTCATCAACATCTTAGCCATCCCAATCATCATTTTTTTCTCCCCATTTCATCAACCGGATTTCATATTTATTTCTATGTCACAACCAGCCAAATGCTCCGAGCCTTGGACCAATAACTGCCAAATTATAATGTTATTTTCCAACTTGTCTACCTAAAACCAAATGGGCAATTAAAAATCTAACTCCAAATTCAAAATTCTGCGAACAATAATTTTCATGACATTTTTTTATATAGATATTGTTAACAAAATAAAAGTTGTACGAACTAGAAGATAAAAAAATATCACCAAAAAGAATTTAAAAAGGACGTTGGGTTCAATAATTTGTTCCAAAAGAGACTTTTGAAAAGGAAAAGGAAAAGGGGGAAAAAAAAAAAAACAAAACAAAAGAGGTATAATGGTAAATTGACACCTCTATTCATCTATTGGGCGTAAGTGCATTATGACAAGAATATTATATTATGAAATGTACTGCAATTTATGTACTAAGGTAACCCTTCAAAAAGTTTAGGCAAAGTTTAGGCACTAAAATTGGTAAATGACGAAAGTAACCTTTCCTTTTGAGGAAACATTTTCCTAATGATGTATGGATTCGACGCGTGTCGTCGACGCTCCTAATTTGTAATTTGAATCGTCTCCGTAATCTCACAATCCGATTTCAGACCGACCTCAGTTTTGGAGCAAAAGTCAACGTCCATATCTGCCACGGGAGCAACTGGTAAATGGTAATTTGACAGTGCCGTCGCACCTGATCACAACCCATGAGCCATTGGTCCACGTGGCAGCCACCCATTGAATCGCATTAACCTGACTCTCAAAGAAGCTTCAGATTAGCTTGTAGTCTAATTAACCCAAAAGGGGTTTGACTCTTAACCCTTTTGGTTTAGAGCCCAAACCAGCTTATGTAGGCCCTGCTGCTTCTGTTCCGACATGTGGAATGAAAGAGACCAACACGTGGCAGTAAATAGTTGGTCAAAAACCCGGGAAAAAAGAGGCCGTGGAGCACATTAAAGAGGAAATTAGGAAAAGGTCAGCTTTGATTGGGAACCAAAGAGATTTTGCATTTGGCCCCTTTAAGAATGAAGATCTTGATGTTTTCATTAATGTTATATAAGCACCTTTTTTTTTTAAATAATAATAATAATAATAATAATAATGATTCTGGAAGAAATGACACATTTGACCGATTTCATGGCCTGCCTAACTTTGGATGTGATTTGTGGCTAGGCTTAAGACTGTTGGGCAATTGGGGCAATCAGAGTTTACCTAAAAAGAAAATCAAAATTTTGGGGGTTTATGGTGTTTGTAACGTGGCTCATTTGATATCACAATGCCTTTAATTATCTAGATTTGTTGTTGACCATTTGCCACCCTTTTCTTGATTCTTAAAATCTTTTGGAATTTGATGATTCAAACAAAATCTCTCCTAAAGAAAACCGCACGAGTTCAAATAAAGATATCCTTTCAAAACTTCTTCTGTTTTCTTCAAAGATTGGCCATAAATGTGAATTCCATTTATCCTCATTCAATACTAAACAGATTCATTTGACTTCGTTTATATTTAGCATCTTTTTCTCAATCATAAACTATTCATAATCGTGATCGCAAGTATAACATAATCATAATTTCACGCTTACTTTGATCATTTTAAAACTGTTGAATTTAAATCTCTCGCCCTAAATTTTTCTATATATATACATATTAAAAAAAATTAAAAAATAAAAAACTCTATTCGCAATCTTTAGTATCGGGCTAAAACAAATTTTGCAGATGTTCTTCAGCATTTTTAAGCGCTTGATGCTACGAGCAAAAAACCAAAATCCAAATTGTCCGATAACACTTAATGACAAACAAATGGCAATGAACCTACAAAAGGCATAGAAAGATAAGATCATTAAGAAAACCCAATACTCTAATTTTAACATTTTATTAATGGAATTTAATAAATAACAAATCAATGAAGAATCTGATGTAGGGTTAAGAAGCCACATATGTGCTTGTTTGCTGGCAAAAGTTGAAGCAAAGGAGAAGAATGCGCACGTCAGTTTTTCTAGCATTTTCCAAAATATTAATATAGATTGGAAATCAGTCCCAATATATAACATTATCAAGACAATTTTTTAAATATATATACACACATATATGTCGTGTGATGGGGTATTAGCCTTTGCTTTTAGTTTAATGATTTCATTCCTTGCTTGTATAACTTGTGACAGACACAAACTCTAGTTATATAGTCCAAGTCCAACAATGTAGGATATATAGGAGCGTACCTTGGAAGTTGTCCACCAACTAGCGAGTACATTGAGGGTATTCACAAGGGTATATTCCAGATGTGTTCGAGGTAATGTTTCACGTTTCTACGTGAACACATGTACTATTATATATATATATGCAGTTGTAACTGTTATAACTGTGCACTTCAACTAAAGAAGTGTTGACCCCGTGTAAATTATATATATATATGTATTTTCAATTGCCCTAATATTATATTTATATTTAAGCGCTAGTTTTGATAATTATATCAGAATTCCTAATCAAGAGAGTTTGTGAGATGCGAGTAGAATTAGATATTTTGAGAATTATCCTGATTATATTTATTGTAAAATTTTGCATCTCTTGTAAGCAGATATAGTAACTTATGTGTTTTTTGCCATTTTCTTTTATACTATTTCTCTTCTTTAGTAAAGGATTAGGGCTTTAATCCTAACAGGACAACTC